GCAGGTTTGCATCCAGGACCCCCCCTAACACAGATGTGCCAGAAGCCACCAGTGAGCGCAGCAGCAAGGGCGCTGGCACCAAGCATGGCCACCTCAGTCCCCGGAGAGCATCGTGTGCCATGCACGAGCGGGACGCTGCCACGAGCACCCACCCGGCTAAACAGGGCTGGGCACCGTGGGTTTTGCCACCCTGCGACCCACCGCTGCTGTGCTGTTTGCAAAAAGGGTGCGGATTTGTTTGCCGCCCCTTCAGATGTTGTTAAACATTTCCTGACAAAACTGGGGCTGGGCTCCAACCCCTTCCTGCTCCTCAGCGGAGCGGGTCCCTGCAGGACAGCACACTGGGGGCTCAGGGTGCCTGGGAGCGAGGGGCTGGCACCGAACACGCCGTTTTACAGGATTTTTTTTTGCCCTTTCCCTCCCCCCTCAACTTCTCGCCGCACTCCCACACCCGCGCAGCAGGTAAAGGCAGCAGTTAGCTACAAAGTGCTTTGGAGACCTCAGCTCATTAATCCAACTTGTAATTAGTCTGTAGGGAAGGGAGGGCAGGTACCCGGTGCAGCTCAAAGGGGGTCACTCCCAGACCCCCCACAACCACCGCTCCCCACAGAGCAGCCACAGGGCGCACAGCCAGTGACACCCTTGAACGACAGCAGGGTCCCAGGGGAAGCGCTGGCCCCAGCCCCAGGCTGGGGACACCAGGCTCTGGGCACTGCCCCAGGCACAGATGTCTGCACCAGCCCCAGGACAGGCAAATTCCCTCGGTTTGCTGCTTAATACCAGGCAAGCCCTTGCAGCCAACAACTCGGGCAGAGCTGGCCAACGGTTGTTGCAGGGTGATACCCAGGACCCCCCAACGCAGATGTGTCAGAAGCCACCAGAGTGAGCACAGCAGCAAGGGTGCCAGCACCAGGTGCGGCCACCTTGGTCCCCAGAGAGCATCGTGTGCCATGCACGAGCAGGATGCTGCCACGAGCACCCACCCAGCTAAACGGAGCTGGGCACTGCAGGTTTTACCACCCTGCAGGGGTTTCCCTGCTTTTCTGGAGGAGAAGCTCTGCAGCAGGCAGCTGTACGGGCCCAAGGCAGGCAATGCCAACAGCCAGCACGGAGGGCAAACCGGTCCCTTCATCCTCGCACGAGCCTCCACCCGGCGGCACAGCACCCACCATGTGCCAGCATCCCGGCCATGGCTGATGGACAAGGGGCCAGGGCCACCAACCCACCCATGGGGGCAAGCACCAGCCCTTCTTGTACACTCAGAAAGTGCCCCCAGAGAACCAGCAAGAGGGGCTTAGAGGAGACTACCCTTGCCAGGGTGACATTTGGGGAAAAGACAGGCAGGAAGCCAGAGCCCTGGTTAGTCAGGCTCAGCGCGACACGGATCGTCTGGTTGCTCTTGAGCTTTGCCCAACCATCAGGGGACACATCCCATCCTCGTGCCACAGCCTCACCACCAGCCAACACACAGCTCTGCACCTCCCAGAGTCGCCAACAACATCGAGTGGACATGGAGCCTGCCTGGAGGGATGATGCTGGGCTGCTCTCTTGCCAGCCTTAAAGCAACAGAGGCGTTCCATAGCAATTAGGTGATGAGCAGGAGCTCCCCCACCCAAAAAGAGAAACCATCCCCAACTCACAGCAGCCTAGGATCACTACATCCCCAGCATCACATCGTATGGAAGACCAGCAAGTAAAACAGACCGCTGAGCACATCACCCCCTTATGGGCATCCCCCTAAAAGACACCTTTGCCTCTTAATTCTGCAACGCCCAAGGTCCCGTGCGCTCAGCCCGTCACCTAAACACTTGGTGAAACAAAACCACGGACCTTAAAGCATCCTGTCAAGGGCAAGCAGGGACCTGTCCTGGCTGCCACTTCTGCTAAGTGGCTTTTGTGAGAAACATCGGTCTGTAAACGGAAAACAAAGCCTGCCCTTGTTGCAGCGCTGGTGCTTTCCTTCTCACTGGAACAGAGCCACCCCAGTACACACATCAACCCCCGGCAGCTCAGCTTGTCTGGTTCGTTGTAGGGCCCGTCAAACGTTGGCATCTCAGCAGATGATATCTCAGCGCTTGCTGGGACCCCGGTAAGGCAATGGCAAGTAACAGCTCCCCTGGCACGAGGCATTCGGGCCAGCGACCTTCCCTGTGGTCACACCATGGGAGCCCTCCCCGGGCAGCAAGAAAGCAGCAAGATCCCCCCCCAAAAGCCAGCACAACAGGACGACTTGCCAAGGATGTTACACGTCAAAGGGCCAGTGGGATCTAAGGCAGCTCCGTGCTGCCGGAGCATCGGAGCACAGGGCACAGCAGGTTCTGGAGTTTAGAGGTTCAGTCTGGAGAAGAGGAGGCTGAGGGGAGCCCTTCTCACCCCCTACAACTGCCTGAGAGGAGGCTGTAGCAAGGGGGGGGTCGGCCTCTTCTCCCTGGTAACAGGCGATAGGATGAGGAGGAATGGTCTGAAGTTGCGTCAGGGCGGGGTTGGGTTAGACATTAGGAAAAATTTCTTCACAGAAAGGGTTGTCAGGCTCTGGAATGGTGGTTGTGTCCCCATCCCTGGAGGTATTTAAAAGCCAGGTAGATGAGGTACTTGGGGATGTGGTTTAGTGGTGGGATGGCAGGGTTAGGTTAACAGTTGGACTTGATGATCTTAAAGAGCTTTTCCAATCTAGACAATTCTATGATTCTAGGTTAAACAGGGGGTGGCCAGTGCAGAGCACCCCACCAGAAAAACAGAGGTGAAGTTTCGAGAACATCGTAGTTTCCAACAAAACCTCCAACCATACTTGAAAACATCACTTGAGAGCTTTGGAACGGGTCACCCCCTGAACCCTCAGCACCAAAATCTAAGCAGCGTTTTGAGTCAGCAGCAGCCAAACCCAGCGCGATTACAGGAGAGGGGCACAGCAGGAGGGACAGGGCCAAGGTGGCACCTGGGAAGCGTGTGGCCAGTAACCCAGCAGCTGGCAGCCACTCCACCCTTGGATGCGCTCATCCTGCCTGCACAAGTCATCTACAGAAACCCAAGAAGATGCTCGTGAAGACACACAAAGTCCCAGCAACCGTGCTTGTGCACAGACAGGACCTGCACGTGTCCATCCATCCAGCGCAGCCCTGTGGGCTCTCAGGCCCCAAAACTCGAGGACCAGCAGTGACAGTGGGGTGGGGAAGCCCCCGGAGTTCAGGCAGACCAGGGAGTGACAGACGCCGAGGACACAACACAGCCTTCCCGAACATTCCACGAATCCAGTGCACCCAGCCCGGTGGAGAAGCAGCTGTCCCAGAGCAAGGGCAGCCTTGGGGCACCCTTGGCCCGATGGATGGGCTCCTACCTTGGACTGCCGGCATCTTCCCCTTGTTGAGCTGCTTGAGGCGCTTCTGGTGGGACTTGCCGTTGTAGTGGATCTGCGCCTGCGCAGCCGAGTTGAGCTGGATGTTGCAGACCTCGCAGAGCGTGAACGACTGGTGCTTCTTCTCCCGCTTCATGCGCTGCTCGGGCTGGCTCGGTGGGCAGCCGGCCACCTCCACCAGCCGCACCCCATTCTCGGGGCTGTGGGATGGGCTCAGGGGTCGCTTCATGCCTGCGGGAGGAAGGACAGACCCGCTGTAAGGACAGAGGGACCAGAACGGGGGGCCAGGTAGGGCAGAGAACCCAACACAGGTCCCATGCCTGAGGGGTGCCCAGGCTACCTGGATCTGGGGGGGCCTCCCTGAGCGAGAGCAACAGCATTCGCATCTCTGCAAAGAGTTGTGCTGGGCAAGAAGACAAGAGCAGCAGCATTCCTAGGAGCTTAGTGCTGGAGCAGGGAATAACCCACTTCTTCCAAGATTCTAGCACCAGGCAACACTCCTTGTGGCAGTTTAAGTCTTTCTGTTCGCTCCCGGATGGCACCGTAGGTTGGCCCGAGGCAGAGCTGGGATGGTAACCAACTCTTTGCAAGCAAGAAATTCAACTGGTAGGACTGGTGTGCTGCTCCAGTGTCCTGCAGCCCGTCCCCACCGCGGCAGGAGGAGGACTGACACCAGCACCTCGAGCCACAAGCACTTTCTTGCCCACGTTAGGCAGGTGCCTGTGCTGAACGCAGGGCTCTGTGGGACCAACTCATACTGGGAGCTCAAGTCCCAGACCCGCGTGGGGGCACCATGTGGAAGAGCTGCCCACGGAAGGGCTGGGGTCAGCTGGGGATGGCCACCCTGTGGCCTTCGCCTTGCAGACACACTGTCCCCACTGCCCAACCCCAAACTGGGAGCTGGTGGGACATCCAGAACTGAGCCTCGGAGAGGCACGAAGGTCACCCAAGCCCTGCGATCCAGTTACCACCTTGGAGCTGGCAGCTGCTGGTTACAAATACACACAGGCACGCGGCGCCGAGACACCCCGAGGGGCCAAGAACAGGGGACTGGGGTGCCTGGGGGTGCCCAGGCAGCCCCCAAAGGTGCCCTGCAGAGATGCCCCCGGCACCCTTGGGAAGGGCTGCACAGACACCGCTTGGGGGTCCATCCGTGCACACCTCGGGATCAGGGACAGGACCGGAGGGTTTGGTTGACGCGCAGGCAGCCTGACCCAGCGCGGCTGTCCCTGCCTGACCTGGCACAGCACCATCCTGGAACCCCCCAGCCCCAACAGCAGGAGGCTCTGTGCACCCCCTTCCCCAGTCCCGCACCCGCTGCCAGCTCGC